TACAGGACCAGGTCATTATGACCCGAAACTACCGGAAGTATATCCTGAAGGATGGGACAGAGGATGTTTGTAGAGCCTGTCACCAGCCCGGTGAGTCACTCAGGCATATTACTTCCGGTTGTCCTGTACTGGCTAATACCGAGTATTTGCACAGACATGACCAAGCAGCCAAAATACTCCATCTCGAGCTAGCCTTCAAATACGGCCTCATAGGCGAAAAGGTGCCGTACTATAAGTATGTGCCGGAGCCAGTTCTTGAAAATGACCGCGCTCGATTATACTGGGACCGGTCCGTCATTACGGACAGGACTGTTCCTGCGAACAAGCCTGATATCGTACTGATGGACCGGGCGGAATCTCGGGTGTTCTTAGTGGATGTCACCGTCCCATTCGATGAAAACCTCGTGAAAGCCGAATCAGATAAAAAACTTAAATATCTGAACCTGGCGCACGAGGTTACCGATATGTGGCGAGTGTCATCCACTGAGATCATCCCAGTCGTAGTGTCAACGAATGGCCTAGTCCCGACTTCTCTTCACGACCATCTGAAGAGGTTGGGACTCCGTGACGGACCAATGATTGCGAGGCTCCAGCGGGCGATCTTGCTCGATAACGCAAGGATCGTCCGCCGTTTTCTCTCTTTGTCGCCCTGACCCCCGGCCGTCTGGCCTCCTCTGCCGGGGGGAATCCTCCCCCCCCTCGAATCGTCGAGGGGTCGGGAAGAGTAAATTATAAATATATTTAAATAATAATAATAATATTTATTAGATCACAACAAAATACATGATTTTCGCTATATCTAAGCTTATCATATACTTACTGTACCTAATTAATTTGCATCTGCTGCTGAACTGAGTTGATACCCGTCTTTCAGCATACAGCGCCTCAAAACCTCAGATTCTTGAAATTACTTAGTATATATTAAGCAGATAAGCGACACTGAATTTAAGTTACCTAACTTATCTTAACTTATAGTGTTATCCTCTCGGTGAGTAGAATGATAATGACTGAGTGCGTGTGAGAGGGTGAGTAAGTTGAGTAGTAAATTATAAAACTTAAAATTCCAAACACCATAAAACATTTTTACCGCGAGAAACAGTTACCATTAAACTAATCAGTCTCGGAGAGCAAAAAGCGCACCACTATGTTACGGCAACACTGTAAAATCGGTGAGAAGCCATTTGACCAGTCAGTATATAACCACTGGCCAGTTTAACAGGTCAGAGATATAGAGGGTTATTTATTAGGTAATCACGTTTATTAAATTTTCAGTTTCATCATAACTTAATTTTTTTATCCAACATGATATTATTCTTTTCACCTCATTTTTATTTAACGGGTAAATGTTATGTATTTTATTAATTTTGTTATACATAAATGGGCCTAAAAATAGAAAAAAGTTCCGAATAAAAGTAGTTCTCGGTTTATGCACCTGTCTACAAACCGCAAAATATCTACGCCGCGACAGATAGTTAGAGTTATATTCCAACAAGGTATGTTGTTTTAAAGTTATATTAAGTAAGTAAATTTGGCGCACAGACATTACATCACAGTATTCATATAGAAGCTTTGTGGGATAAAAGAAAGGCTTAAACGCACAAACTTTTAGTACAGCTCTTTGCGCTACCTCCAACGATCTCATTGTAGTCTTCGGTACACCACCCCAGGATGTTATGCAATATGTGAGCAAGGACTGGCACAGAGCGAAATAGATATTTTTTAGAGACTCCGCTGGAACAACTTGTCTTAGTGTCTTAAACAAATACATCAATTTCCGAACTCTTTTTGACAAAGCCAGAATATGCTGTTTGAAAGAGAAGTGGTCATCGATTACAACGCCCAAATATTTGATAGATTCGACGCGTTCTATGGTTTTACATTGACACTCATAACGAGAAGCTGTTAATGTGCAATTATGTGAGAATAAATTTTGGGAGTATGATTGATCTCGTATGGAAAAAGCTATGTATTTGGTTTTTTCGATGTTTAAGGTTAATTTATTATTTTGGAGCCATGTGTTAACTTTATCAAAACCAATTTGAGCCATTCTATATGCCTCATTCCACGTCTCTGAAACAAAAGAGAGAGCAGTGTCATCTGCATAGGAGATTATTTTTCCACCAAAAGATTTGATACATAGTAGATCATTAATATAAACGATAAAGAGGACAGGACCCAGAATACTGCCCTGAGGTACCCCATAAGTAACTGGCAGTTCTGCACTAATATGAGGGCCTATTTTGATATATTGAGTTCTGTCTTTTAAGTAATTCGTTAGTAAATCTAATTGTGTACCTCTAACACCCATTCGTTCTAGCTTATTTATAAGGATAGGAATAGGAACCGTGTCGAAAGCTTTCGCTAGATCTAAAAATATTGTAATACATTTGTTACCTTTATCAAGATTGGTCGTAATAAAATCTGTTAGACTACCCACTGCATCATCTGTCGATTTACCGCACCTAAAACCAAACTGGTTACTAGCTATTAATTTTTTTTCTTCAAGGTAGTCAAGCTGGAGAAGTACGCATATTTATTACATTGCGTCGATTATTAATACAATACAATGAGGCGATTATTAATAATCTTTTCTAAGATTTTTGAGAGCGAGGGGAGAATCGCTATTGGTCGATAGTTTCCAACACAGTTCCTTTCCCCACAGCCTTTGTAAATTGGGTGTATTTCAGATCTTTTCAAAGATTTGGGAAAGATGCCGCTTTCTAAACACATGTTATAGATGTGTGTGATAGGAGGTACCAGTGTAGCTCTGTGTTCCTTTAGTAGTCTGGTTGGTATTTTGTCCCATCCCATACAGCACTCATTTTTCAATCCTAGTATTAGTCTATTTATTTCTTCTTCATTTGTAGCAGAGAGAACAAAAGAGTAATCAACGCCTGATATGTTATTACAAGACAGTGTATTTGTTTCTAATGAAACATGTTTTTCTGCTAATGTTTTACCTACGTTTACAAAATAGTTGTTTATATAATCTATAGAATCTTGTATATTATTACATATAGTTAATGACTCTTTGGGGTAAGTTTTATCCTTGTTTGTGTTTGTGATATTTTTTATTGTTTGCCATAATTTTTTACTATCTTTACCGGCTCTTTCCACAAGATCTCTTTCATAATTACGTTTAGCCCTCTTAAGTATAATACCACAAAAATTCCTATACCGAATGTATGTTGTTTTTAAAATTAGGTTGTCTGGATCGGATCTAGTTTTTTTATGCAATTTATCGCGATTATATATGCAACGCAGAAGGCCAGGTGTTATCCATGGTTTAATGATTTTTTTACGCCGAGATAATTTTATAATCTGCGTGTTTTTTTCAATTCTACGTTTTATTTCATTAATAAGATAATCCATTGCTACATTACAGTCCTTAGTTTGGTAAATCAAATCTAAATTTATATTACTTATGTCTTTTTTCAAGTTATTATGGTCAATGATATTACGAGTAAAAGTTGCATATTGGCGAGCCGGTTTTTGTTTTAGACAAAACAAAATAGTTTTGTGATCTGTTAACGTAGTTTCTAAGATCATAGTGACAGCAGAGGCTTTGGTTTTCAAAAAAACATGGTCTACGCACGAACCACTTACATCACGCGTTACTAAAAGATGGGCAGGTAGTAATCCATTATAGGCCATGAATGTCAAATATTGATCAGTAGATGAAGTAAGATTTTTTGCAATTATGTTAATATTTAAGTCTCCTATCAAAATAATATTCTTATAATCAGTTAAAGTTTTTAATATTTCGTTGAGGGATGTTAAAAACAGATCAATGTTAACAAACGATGGGGAACGATAAACTGCTAGTATAGCCGTATCATGGTTTCCAACTGTAATGAGGAGGGAGTTACAGTTTTGCATGTTAGGCTCCTTTATAGAGAAGGTAAGTTCATTCTTAATATAAACAATTACTCCATCATTCTGTAGTAAATTACGGGTAGTTGCAAACGAGCTGTAACCACTTATAGTTGGGCTATTGGAAACACATGATAGCCAGCACTCAGTTAGGACCAATACATCGCAGTTAATTCCAAGTCCCGTCAATAGTACATCAAAGTCAGCGAAGTTGCAATTCACGTTTCTAACATTTTGGTGAAGAATCAATAAAGAGTTTGTTGGAATTAATTTTTTACAGTCCTGTATATCACAAGAGAATGACTCCGAAACACCATACGCGTCTATGTCATTTGACAGATCATTTAAAATAGCCATTTGTATTAGATACAATAAAAGTCTATCCACTCGATTTCAACATTAGTTTTAAGTAATTGACACATTGTAATGATTTTCTGATAAAATTCAACAATACTCGACAATTTCATAAAATTATGCCTTAATATTAGTTTTAAAATTCTATGATATTCACAAATATAATTCTCTTTTATATATGTGTATGTATTTACATTATTATTACTGGACATAATATTTTTAGTGGTAAAAACGTAATAACAATAACAAAGTTCTCTCACAACACAATTATTCAGCCCACGCGTATGTAGGTTAAACAACACAAATGCAAAGAAAATATTTATTATATAGCCCTTTTCTAAGACAAGTGATTTAAGAATTCTGTTTTTGCTACGCATTAATTTTTGCACCAAAGTATACAATGTCACAATGAAATGAAATGAAACATTATAACAATAAATTAGCACCAACATATTATTCATATTTTTGTAAAATTTCAGAAAACTTATATCAATTTTAAACTTTAAAATGCTGGAATTTTGTTTTTTGTTATACTTTACTTTGTATAGTGTAAATTGTGTGTATAGATTAAAACTTAAAAGTAAATTGATGATAAATAAATCATATCTATAACTACTACTAACAAGCGGTGAAAAGTATTTCAGTTTGTGAATAATGTTTTTAATTATCCATTTTCCAAGAAAAAAGAATAGGTAAAAAATATAAAAAAGTAAAAATAACGTAATATTAAATTCGCGGGCTACCATGTGAGCATACGTTACAATATACTGTAGTCATTGTGATTTCTTCAAGTTTTCAATGTCGGTTTCAGAGATTATTTTGATATGCGGTGAATTTTCGTGTTTTCTCAGATACACCACACCATGAGACGTCCAGCAAAAGTCATATTTAAGCTGCTTCTGAGTCAGTCTAGCTTGGTAGAAGAGCTTTTGAGTCTTAGATGTGAGCGCTTCCGATATATAAATAGGTTGTGCAGGAAATTTTAAGTTTAAGTGTCCCGTGTTTAATTTATCACCATGGATTTTTGTTTTATTGAATTTTTTTACATTTTGTAAAATATTATCTCTTACGATAACTGTAGTAAATTCAGCAATTATCAAATTTGATGAATCTTTTGATTTTCCTCTGTAAATATCCTTTATAAGATTCTGATCAATCTCAACATTAATTGTTTTTCCTATGGTTGAAATTAAATTACTTAAATATTTTTTATTTTCACCTGATATTTTAGGTATATTACGGATTTCCAACATTGTGGACTTGGTTTTTCGCTCCAAATACTCAATCTTTTCCTGAAGATGATAAATCATTTTTTTGTCTTCTCGTCTCTCCGCTTCAAGTTTAGTAATTTTATTTAGAAATTCATCATATTGATCCGACATATGCTCAACACTACGCTTCAGTTCCCTATTTTGATCCTTCAAACTGTCTATAGTTTTCTGTAGCTGTTTGAATCGTACGGCCTGATCCTGTGTAAAAGTTGTAAACATTTGCTTAATAACATCCGTAATATCCGAATTCGAACTTTCAAACTTTCTTTTTTTCCTCTCGGATATATTTTCCATCATTGAATGAAGATCTGGTGCAGAATCGTAATGTTGAATCCTTAGTGAGTCGTCGGTGCATTCCTCCTCCCTGCTTGTCAGGGCGCTTGTAGATTGTGAATCAATAATAGCACATTTAGTTCCCGCTTCGACAGTGGTCGCCGAAGGCGGTGGCGTACGCTTTAGTGGCATATTGTTCGGTGTAAAAGTACCAGGAACTCAGAGATACAAATAAGCTCAAGGACCGCAAGCAAGTGAAGGGGTCAGCTTTATTTGGTCGCAATCGACGATTTCATATATTTTTGCTTTCCGTCCACTATAACTGGAGCTCTCGTTTGTTTCTCTGAAACAGCTTCTCAGTAATCTAGTTGTCTTTTTTTAATGCATGCAATCCTAGCTGTGTTGTTGTTATGCTTACACAAGTTGGTGTGTTGAGACAGTTACTCACAGTTAATCACAGATGACACTCCCACAGACTGTCACCACACACACACAATTACCAGTTTTACACTGCTATGAGCTTATGCGCTCCTATTAAATTAGCTTTATTTATTTATTGTAAAATATATTTTCTTTTGTTAATTTAGTTAAAATCAGCTTAATTTATTTACGTCTGCACTGATCAGAGATCCGAGGAGAAGGGATTTGGAAGTGATTTAAATATTTCTTACTGACCAAACAACTAATTAACAATTAATAGCTAAAGAAAAAAGATAATGTCATATTTAATCAATACAATTAATTTATATCCAAAATAATATAGACAAATTATTACTCCAGTATCCTTTCAATTAATTGTTTTGTTGTTTTTCAATATCGATAGTAAATAACTTTATGTCAATCACTAGTGTAATACGTCAAATTAAAATGGCTATTACACTTTTATTACGCACTCTAAAGGTCTGTTATGGTTGTTAAATAAAAAACTTAGAACTAAGATTCGATACGCAACGATTAATTGTTTATTCGATAGGGAGTGGACACACCTTTACAACGGGTCGCTTGTAAAATTTATTGCCCCTTTGTAAAGTCACCACACGAGTAATATTATCTGAACCTGGATGTAGAGCATGGACACGCGCTAGTTTCCATTGTAGTGGTGGCAGGTGATCATCGCAAACCACCACAATAGTACTCTCACGAATAGAAGACCCGCGAATCTCAAACCATTTTTGACTTTGCTGAATTTCATGAAAATACTCTCTACTCCATCTCTTCCAAAATGTTGAATGAACTGCTGTACCTAACACTAATGCGTAAGTCGATAAGTATTCTCGTCTACCAAAGAAACATCAGGCAAAACAGTCAAAGGCTCTCCTATCAGAAAGTGCGATGGAGTTAAAGGAAGAGGATCAGGCGAAGCACTTATTGCATAGAGTGGACGCGAATTCGGTACGGCCTCTATTTGACATAGGAGGGTATGCATCTCGTCATATGTTTGAGTACAAGTTCCAATAACACGATGTAGGTGATGCTTAAAACTTTTGACACCCGCCGCGAATAGCCCACTGAAATGTCTTGCGTATGGTGGCTGAAAGTGCCACGTTAGGCCTTGTTTACGTGTCTCTCGATTCAAATCGGCCTACACAGAGTCGCTGTTTAGGAACGCGCACAAATCCATTAAATAATTATTACCTCCGACAAAGTTCTTTCCACAGTCCGAAAAAATGTCAGTGCATAAACCTCGACGGGATGTGAAACGCCGCAAAGCCGCGAGAAAAGATTCCGTGGAAAGTTCGGACACAAGCTCTAAATGTATGGCCTTAACGCTCATACATACAAAAACTGCAACGTAACACTCACAACTTTAGCATTGCGCACCTTATTTGCACGTTCGTAAAAAGGACCCGCGTAATCTACGGCAGTCTTAATAAAGGGTCACGAGGGTCGTAAATGAGTAGCAGATAACGGTAATATAGTAAAGTAACTGAAAACCTATAAGTTTGTATGTTTAATTAGCGGATTTAAGGTGTGATATGAGAAAATATTGATTATAACCTAAAATATTGTTATGGCCAATAACTGTCACTGGATTTTTTTCGATTTATAGTAATTGGCCTCTTATACCCATTACTATATTTATTATATACTTATTAAAGAGCGTTTCTAATAGAGAGTTATCATCTTATCTTTAAAATTACGCGGTCAGTTCAACCCCCATATATTTCAGAGCACTGTAAATATTTATTTGCCTAGGCCAATTACTGTGCCACTTACATTACTAACCAATACAAAAAATAGGTTAATGACTTTTTACGTATTTTTTTTTAAATTCAATAATAGTTTTTTTGTACTCTAATAGGTAGACTGGCAAAAAACACACCATGCCGAAAAAACCCCAATACACTAAACAAGCTCTTGATGAGGCATTGGAAAAAATTAACGACAAAACGATGTTTTTGAGAGCAGTTGCAAAGAAGTACAATATTCCTAGAGCAACTCTACAGTTCAAATTAAAAAATCCAACTTCGAGATCTCAATTTGGGCCAATGTCATACTTAACTTATGAAGAGGAAGATACAATTAAAAACTGGTTAGTCAGAATGTCTCGCAAAGGCTTTCCGAGAAAAGCAGATGATGTTCTCGACACTGTTCAGAAATTTTTGACTCCAAATCCACGCGATACTCCGTTTAATAACAATAGGCTTGGTCAAGGCTGGCTGAGAGCTTTTTAAAACGTCATCCCGATATCAGTCAAAGAACCAATGAGGGCGTTTCTTAAGCTAGTGCCTGCGTGGCTGAGAGCGATATAAAAAAATGGTTCGCAGAAATCAGGGATTATTTTACTAGTGAAAACCTATTGGAGGCCATTTAGATCAACAACGTGTTTTTAACAGGTTTTCAACTTCGTCCTTCTACAGGTACTTGCTGCTAAAGGTGATAAAAAAAATTATGCTGTAGAACAAGAAAACACCAAAGAAAATATCACATTACTGTTCACATTTTCTGCTGATGGAAGAACATGTCCTCCGTTAATATTATTTCCTTACAAACGACTCCCGGAAAAAATTGCGTCATCAGTGCCGCCACATTAGGGTATCGGACGGAGTGATACAGGATGGACTGCAGATGTTTTTAATCAGTTTATCATATTGGCGCCATACCTTGAAGAAAACAACATCATTAAACTAGTTATCCTATTTATCGATGGCCACAGTAGATGGTTATTGGGCATTCTACCCCACTTTCGTTCGCTCGGGCTTGCGCCCTCACTCCTGGTGGAGTGAAATAAATAATCCAATAACCATCTCGGATATTCGTTACCTCGTTTTTTCATTTCACTTTAATTATCTAATAAATAAGAAACCAAATCTACCACCAGTTCGTAAATTGAGAGACCCTTTGACAGAGAAGAACTGGCCAAAGAAACTCTGAAAGGTTAAGAAATCTCTCCCTAACATTAAAATCGTATAACTGTAGCGATCTAAGATCACGCACCGATCGCCGTCTAAACTGTTCAGTTGGAAGCACCGTGGTAAGTCACTCCCTGCGAGCCCGTGGTAAGATCACGCACTGAACAGATTCCTAAGTAGTGTTCGCTGAGAGAACCATCGTAAGTATCTCTCTGCGAGCCCATGGTAAGATCACGCACCAAACATCGCCTAAACTGTTCAGTTGGAAGCACCGCGGTAAGTAACTCCCTGCGAGCCCATAGTAAGATCACGCACCGAACAGACTACTAATTACCTAAAATAAAATGCTTTTGGGATTCTCTGAATCTTACTTTAGATTTATATATTTATACTAACGTTACCATTACCTTCTACGCTACTACGCTACGCTACGAAACGCTACCACAATACCTTTACCGATTTACATTTATACTTACGTTACCTTTACCTTCTTGAAACGTTACCACAACTCCTTTGCCTTTATGATAAAAAGTAATCACAAACTCGATGTAATCTCGTATGAGAATACTTTGATTATCAATTACCTCTTAATATCTATAGGAGAATAGGATGTGATTTTTAAATTTATTTCAGTGTCTACATATATAAAGAAACATGTATTAGATTTTTTCAGCGATTGATCTTCAATATCATATCTCATGTCTGGTTATTTGAAATGTTCTTCGATGTCATCATGCAATGCACAGCTACCTCATGTCTGGTTTTCTGATATAAATAACAAAAAAATAATTATATTACGTAATAATACATATTATATAAGAAAATTAATAACATTCTAATAAACTTAATGACCTTGCTACTATATAAAGAAAAATCCATAAGGGGCTATTTTTTGGGACCATGCGTGATGTAGTAATTCATTAAAAATGTTGAATTATCTTTGATAAAAGATACAATGTAAATGAATAACTGTATTTTTTTCTACATTAAAGAATATTATCTGTTTTCATGAAAAACAAAAAAATACAATATTTTTTTAATTTTGCATTCACGCTATTTTTTTATCAATCTTAGAGAAAAATGCATAAAAATACTTTTAACTTTCAAATCTAATGTTTTTCTTGTTTTACTGATGCCAATTTTCATAGACATTAATAATCATAATTTGTGTGAACTATAATTTTGATAATAAGTCTTTCTTTATAAAATCAGGCTGACATGGATTTTTAAACTAAATTAAAATCATGTACCCACATAGACACATTGTATTGGTTTCACAATACGTAAATACATATAGTTTGTGAATTATTAAAAAAAGTATAATTTTGGAGAATTTATCCTTTAAATTTTTTCTATAAAACGGTATATGAATATTTAATTTATAATTAAAAAGCAGATTTGGAAGGAGAGCAGAAGGTGTCACAAAGCAAATCCAGACCCATATGGTCTGGATTTGTTTTGTGACACCTTCGTCGTTTCAGATAATACATAATACGAAGGCTTTAACTCTTATCTTAGAATCTAAGCAATGTATTTGATTTTGGCTAAATATGTATATTTTACTTGAATCTTAATTAAGTACTTTATAACATATTAGTAATCTATTAAGAAACATAATCATTATTGTACTTAATTGATCTTCTTCTTTTCAACAGTTTTAGACCACTTAGTGATGATTTCTTGAATTCACAAGTAAAATTTTTATATTTACTAAATAATTAGAGTTGTCTATTGTCCTCGAGCGTATTTGCAAATGCAGAGCGTATTAGTAATACGTGGGAATAGAAACGCGAACCCGACGGAGTTCGGTTGCACTTACGATAGTCTTAGAACAATACA